AGATACTTCTCCTGATATATTGCCGGTAACACCACCCCTAATGACAACTCTCCATATGGCGATAATACTATTACTTGCTCATCAATATTCGGCGCAAACCAACTTCTATCTTCTCCTGCTCTTGCTGTTACCCATGGAAGCCAATCGGTTATAAATTCTCCTATTTTCACTCTTACTTTTGCTTTTTCATAATCTATTTCTTCTACAACTCCTATACGAACAATGTTGGCCAATTTCCTCTGTAATTCCGAAATTGCAAAATTATTTTCTAAGAGCATGTCTTCAAACTGAGTAGAAAGAAGTTAAGAAGTATGGTATAAGGTATATTTTAAGATGTACCCAAGCGATATAAGTGACAAAGAATGGAAGACAATAGAGCCATATTTTGAACCTAAAAAGACCGGCAGACCAAGAAAACATAGTATTAGAACAATTATTAACGCAATCCGCTATATGATGAGAACAGGGTGTCAATGGAGACAACTGCCTAAAGATTTTCCACCATGGAAAACCGTATATAGTTGTAATTCGCGCTTAAAAAAAAAATGGAATATGGCAAGAAATTCATGATTTTCTAGTTAAAAAGTAAGAGATGATTGGTAAAAATAAAACCCCATCAGTAGGTATAATTGATAGCCAGTCAGTGAAAACTACTCAAAAAGGGGATCCAGAGGATATGATGCTGGCAAAAAAATAAAGGGCAGAAAACGCCATATTATTGTAGATACTGTGGGTCTTGTAATTGCTGCTGAAGTACACAGTGCAAGTATTCAAGATCGTGATAGTGCTCTAAATCTTTTTGCCAAGCTAAATGCAAAGTTCCAACTTTACGTAAGTTTTTTGCTGATCAAGGGTACATAGGTAAATTAAAACAGATGCTTATTGGAAACGGGATGTTTATTAACGATTGCGAAGAAAATAGTTGATACAGGATTTCAAGTTATTCCCAAACGTTGGATTGTTGAAAGAACTTTTGCCTGGCTTTCCAATTTTAGGCGCATGAGTAAAGATTACGAGCATTCTCCTCTCACCTCAAAAACCAATATCTTCTTTAATATGATCACTATTATGCTTCACAAATTAGCTCATTCTTGAGTTTGAAGACATGCTCTAAGAACCTGTTTAAAATCTTCGTAATAGGAGAGAAATAAAGGAAAGGACAATCATTTGTAAGCTAGTGTTGAGTTTACGTTCGCAATTTTTCCACAACCGCCTACACTTTTCCAACCAAGCAAAAGAGCGCTCAACGACCCATCTCTTTGGCAATACAACAGGTATGTAATTCACTTCGTTTTATTACTTCAACGGTTGCACGATAGTCTTTTTATTTGAGTTGCAAAATTTTCTCCTGTGTAGCCAGCATCAACCAATATATTCTTAACTTCAGAGAGGTTTGCTTTAGCATTTTTCACCATTTTCACAGCACTGCTACGATCAGTTGCTTCTGCCGTTGTTATATGAATTGCATGTGGCAGACCTTGTGTATCAACTGCGATATGGCGCTTTATGCCTGAAATCTTTTTACCTGTATCATAGCCTTTTTCTTCAGCAGTATCTGTGTTTTTAACACTTTGAGCATCAATTATACAGAAACTGGTTTTATTTCTACCGTTGTTAACACGGACCTCTCCAACTAGTTTTTTTTAAAACCAGTTCCAGTAAACTTGGTTTTTCTCCATTTTTTTTACTCCAGATTTGAAAATAGTAATATATGTTTTCCCACTTTGGAAAATCCTTTGGCAACATTCTCCACTGGCAACAACTTTTCAGTACGTATAAGACTGCACAAAATACTTCATATAAATCAAGTTTTCTTGGTCTTGTTTTCTTCTTGCTACTCTCTAGTATTGGTCTGATTTTTTCAAATTGCTCTCGACTTATATCACTTGATAACTTTTCCGCATAGACACCTCATTATTAATCTATGCTTATTTTACCTCATCTCTCCGAGATTTTAAACAGGTTCTAAGACTGCACAAAATACTTCATATAAATCAAGTTTTCTTGGTCTTGTTTTCTTCTTGCTACTCTCTAGTATTGGTCTGATTTTTTCAAATTGCTCTCGACTTATATCACTTGGATAACTTTTCCGCATAGACACCTCATTATTAATCTATGCTTATTTTACCTATCTCTCCGAGATTTTTAAACAGGTTCTTAGAACCTGTTTAAAATCTTCGTAATAGGAGAGAAATAAAGGAAAGGACAATCATTTGTAAGCTAGTGTTGAGTTTACGTTCGCAATTTTTCCACAACCGCCTACACTTTTCCAACCAAGCAAAAGAGCGCTCAACGACCCATCTTTTGGCAATACAACAAAGGTATTAATTCACTTCGTTTTATTACTTCAACGGTTGCACCGATAGTCTTTTTTATTTGAGTTGCAAAATTTTCTCCTGTGTAGCCAGCATCAACCAATATATTCTTAACTTCAGAGAGGTTTGCTTTAGCATTTTTCACCATTTTCACAGCACTGCTACGATCAGTTGCTTCTGCCGTTGTTATATGAATTGCATGTGGCAGACCTTGTGTATCAACTGCGATATGGCGCTTTATGCCTGAAATCTTTTTACCTGTATCATAGCCTTTTTCTTCAGCAGTATCTGTGTTTTAACACTTTGAGCATCAATTATACAGAAACTGGTTTTCTCTTTTCTACCGTTGTTAACACGGACCTCTCCAACTAGTTTTTTTTAAAACCAGTTCCAGTAAACTTGGTTTTTCTCCATTTTTTTTACTCCAGATTTGAAAATAGTAATATATGTTTTCCCACTTTGGAAAATCCTTTGGCAACATTCTCCACTGGCAACAACTTTTCAGTACGTATAAGACTGCACAAAATACTTCATATAAATCAAGTTTTCTTGGTCTTGTTTTCTTCTTGCTACTCTCTAGTATTGGTCTGATTTTTTCAAATTGCTCTCGACTTATATCACTTGGATAACTTTTCCGCATAGACACCTCATTATTAATCTATGCTTATTTTACCTCATCTCTCCGAGATTTTAAACAGGTTCTTAGATTTAAGCATATCTGTTTTTACTGGTCCTGGCATTACGGTAATAAATTTTGTGGCACTGTTAGCATATTGGATTTTTAGTGATTCAAAGCAACTTCTTAGTGCTGCTTTGCTTGCACAATACCCAGAAGCATGTGGTGTTGCATGCACAGCAACAAGAGAGGATATTGCCACAAAAGTTGTTGAATTGCTGTGACTAAGCCATTCTTCAATCCAGTTAATAATCCCAAAATAATTGGTTTCAAATGTTTTTCTATGGATGTCGGTATGAAACTCACCTTCTATCTCACCACATCCTGCGTTAAGGAAAAAGAGTTTTGGTATAATGTTTTGCTTTTTTAAAAAATCAGACGAATTTCTAATATTTTCGCTCTTGCCTACATCACATGTTATAGGTAAAAAATTACTACCTAATTCTTCTTTAATTTTTTCCAATTTTTCAGTGCGCCTTGCAATGCCAACCACAAACCATCCATCTTTAATGAGCAATTGTGCTAGACTTTCTCCAATTCCAGATGATGCTCCTGTAATGAGACAAATTTTTCTATCCATATAAATTTAACCTCACATGAAACATAAGCTGTAACAGATATTACCTATTCATACAAGTAAAATTTGCTATAATGTTAGCTGAATAATAAAAAAGAAAAGCTATTTATAACTTTGAATTTTTTTTAATTATGCAAGAGATTGAATAACAAGAAAACTTTAGTATTTGCTTACTTGTTATTTAAAATTCTTATATAATATTTTAAATGAGTTAAGAGAGAATTGAGTGCAGGATGCGGTTTTAATTTTACAAGATGGCAAGTGTTTTTGGGGAAAATCAGTAGGTAAAAAAGGCAAGTGCATAGGTGAGGTCTGTTTTACTACTGGTATGACCGGTTATCAGCATACTATAACTGATCCTTCTTTTGCTGATCAAATTATAACGTTCACTTTTCCTCATATTGGTAACATTGGAATAAACCATAAAGATAATGAAGGAGAGAAAATTTTTGCAAGTGGTGTGGTTATGCGTGAACTTTCTTCTATGTCCCACCCTTCTTCATATATCAGTTTAAATGATTGGTTAGAGAAAAATAACGTGATTGGGATATCAGGAGTTGATACTAGAGCTTTAACGAGACATTTGAGAGAACATGGATCTCAAAATGGAATGATATGCTCATCGAGTAAGGCGCATGCGTTGGACAAATTGAAGGAATACAAATCTGTAAATGGGATAGAAATAACCAATAAAGTCAGCTTGCATAGTAATTTTAAAAGTGATCTTAATGCAAAATATAGGGTTGTAATCGTTGATTTTGGCGTAAAAATCAGTATAGTTTCACGCTTAATAGAACTTGGTTGTACAGTTGAATTAATCAGACCAAGCACAGGTTTTGCTCAAAAAGTGTTGAGTATGAATCCAGATGGTATAGTGCTTTCAAATGGTCCTGGTGATCCGCAAGAAATAGGGGAAAGTGTAGTTTCAGAAATAGACATTATTATAAAATCTAAAATACCAATCTTTGGCATATGCATGGGTCATCAATTACTTGCGATTACTTTGGGAGCAAAGACCATCAAGATGGATATTGGTCACCGAGGGAGTAACCATCCAGTTTATGATGTAATTAGTGGAAAAGTTGAGATCACTAGCCAAAATCATGGTTTTGTTGTTGATTCAGCTTCTCTTCCAAGTAATGTTGAAATTACCCACATTTCTCTATTTGATAATAGTGTAGAGGGAATAATGATGAAGGATTACTCAGTCTTTTCTGTGCAATATCATCCAGAAGAAGCGCCAGGTACGCATGATTCGCATTATTTGTTTAGACGTTTTATTGGCAATATTGTATTGTATAAAATGAAATCTGCATGATTTTAATCAGGGTAGGTTTTATTGCTTGATTTTTTAGTTTTAGGCGTTTAGTATTAAATACAATAAAAGCTTGAGTTAAGGTACTAAAATAGCGTTCTCTTAACAAATTTTTGTGGAGGAGTGACCGAGTGGTTAAAGGTAACAGACTGTAAATCTGTCCGCATTGCGTACGTAGGTTCGAATCCTACCTCCTCCATTGTGCGGGTATAGCTCAATGGTAGAGCTCTAGCCTTCCAAGCTAGTGACGTGGGTTCGATTCCCACTATCCGCTCTTTTTTTTTGTTGTATTTTTATAAAATCAACATATTATTTATTGATGTATTTGTATTTTAGGTAGAAAAGTTTAAATTATGACAGCAGTAGTAGAAGCATTTGGAAAGCCGCATGTAAATGTGGGAACAATAGGACATGTGGATCATGGGAAGACAACGTTAACAGCAGCGATAACAAAGCATTATGGAAATTTTGTAGCGTACGATCAGATAGATAAGGCGCCGGGAAAAAAGAAAGGATAACGATAGCAACACGCTGTTTAGTATCAGACGGAAAAAGGCATTATGCACACGTTGATTGTCCTGGACATGCTGACTATGTAAAAAACATGATAGTAGGTGCAGCAGATGGATGCGGCGATATTGGTAGTGTCGGGGTTGATGGGCCAATGCCCCAAACGAGAGAGCATATATTGCTAGCGGCAGGTAGGTGTTGGATATATCGTGGTGTATATAAATAAAGCTGATGTTGCTGATGCTGATATGATAGATTTGGTAGAAAGGGAAGTGGGGAATTGCTGAATAAATACGGTTTTCCCAGGATGAAGTCCTGGGTAGTGGGTTCTCTTGGCCTGGAGGATGACGTGCAATATGGAAAGAAATCAAAGAAAAATTGATGGAAAAGTTAGATGGTAGTGGGGGTTTCCCAAAAGGCCCCGGATTTGCCATTTTATTGCCAATCGAGGATGTTTTTTGATATGGGGAAAACAGTGGTAAAGGAAGGATAGAAAGGGAGAGATAAAGAGGGGAGAAGAGATAGAAAAAAGGGTCAAAGGGGACGAAAAAGACGATATGCACAGGTGTAGAAATGTTTAAGTTTTGGATAAGGGGAGTGCAGGACTCAATAAAATTTGCTGGGGAAAAAAAAAAAAGGAAAGGTGGAGGGGGAAAGTTAGAAAACCCGGGGACGATAACGCCGCATAAAAAGTTTGGGGCGGAGGTTTATATAAAAGAAAGAGGAAGGAGGAAGGCATACACCTTTTTTTTGGAATTACCACCACAGTTTTATTTAAGGCCCGGATGTAAGGGGGAGCTAAAATTGCTAGAGGGGAAAGGGAGATGGTAATGCCGGGAGATAATGTGAGTGTAGAAGAGAATTGCAAGTACCGATAGGGAGGGATTGCTTTTGCGATAAGAGGGGAAACTGTTGGTTCGGGGTTTTTCTGAAATTTTGGAGTGAGAGTTTGAGTTATAGGAGTGTAGCTCAATTGGTAGAGCGCTGGTCTCCAAAACCAGAGGTTGTAGGTTCAATTCCTATCGCTCCTGCATTAATGTTGTGGTGAAAATGTTAAAAAGTTTGTGTGTTTTTTTCTATGATATAAAGCAAGAAATACGAAGAATTGCTTGGGTAAAGAAACAGGAGGTGTTGTCATCTCTATTTGTTGTGATGATTGTTATATTATGCTTTTCGATTTTCTTCTGTTTTGTGGATTTTATGTCTCTTTACGTAATTAAGACTTTATTTGGAATTATTTATGGAATGTGAATATAAATGGTATATCATTAGAGTTGATTATGGATATGAGCAAAATATACGCGAATTGGTAAGTAATGCTGTTTATTTTAAGGAAGTGTTTATTCCTTATCAAACGGTATGTAATTTAAAGTCTGATATAAAAGAGTTATGTGAAGTGTATGTATATATGCATCTATGTGATGAAAGCAAAAATATTTTGAATCAAACGCCTGGATTCTTCAGTGGTGAATCTGGTGATTTTGAGATGATTTCAGATGATGAGATAAGTTTAAAGTGCAAAGAATTTAATAGATATAAATGGTATATCTTGAGAGTTGCTTCCAATTGTGAAGAGAAAGTGCGCCAACATATATTGGAAAATTCTATGAGATTGAGTGTTAATGGTTACTTTAAGGAAGTTTTTATTCCATATGAAGAGCTAAGTGAAGTAGAGTTGAAATCTAAGAAAATTGCTACACGAAGGAAATGCTTTCCTGGTTATGTCTTTTTATACGTGAATTTATGCGATGAAGTATTGAATTTTATCAATAATATACCAAAATCTCTTAAGGTTTATGGGTTTTTGAAAAATGGTAATATTCCAAAGGTGATTTTGGACGATGAGATTCACTCAATGTGTAATGCACTTTATAATGCTCAAGAGACAAAAAAGTTAGGTTATGGTTATGAAAAAGGTGAAAAAGTGAAAATTAATGATGGTCTTTTTCAAAATTTTACTGGTAAGGTAAATATGGTAAACGATGAGAAAAAAATTATTAATGTGGAAGTATCAATTTTAGGTAAGCCGACAATAATAGAGCTTGATCTGGCTCAAGTAGAGAAAATAGAGGATTAATTATGAGTGTTATAGTTGCTAAGATTAACTTACTTATGGAAGCTGGGAAAGCAATTCCAGGACCGAAAATTGCTTCAGTACTTGGTCCACGTGGTATACCTGTTCCTAAGTTTTGCGAAGCTTTTAATAAAGTTACTAGCGCTGCTAACGCTAATTATAAAGTAGGCGATTTAGTAACAGTGCGAATTTCCATAAAGGATGATCGCTCTCATGATTTTACTGTCAGCGGTCCACCTGTGGCTTATTTACTTAAGCAGGAGGCTAAATTAAGTAAAAGTTCTGGTAATCCTGGTAAAGAATTAGTGGCTAAATTACCTATGTCTGCTATAATTAAAGTGGCAAAGTGCAAGATGGTTGATATGAAAGTGGATAATGAAGATTCAGCAGTGAAAATGGTTGTAGGCACTGCAAAATCTATGGGTATAGAAGTTGTGGAAGGTTAGGTAAATGAATACATATAATGGTAATCCTAAGCAGTGTTTGAAGAAGATTATTGAGTCTGCTTCAGCAAAATTTAATGAATCAGTTGATATTGCAGTCAATTTAGGCGTAGATTCACGTAAATCTGAAGAGCAGGTGCGTGGTACAGTAGTTTTGCCTAAAGGTATCGGGAAGAATATTAAAGTAGCTGTTTTCGCTCAAGATAAACATTTATTAGAAGCTGAAAAAGCTGGTGCTGATATTGCAGGAGGAGAGGATTTAGTTGAAGAAATAAAAAAAGGTAGAAAATTAGATGTTGATTGGTGCATTACTACTCCTGATTTTATGGCAAAAATCACTCCTATTGCAAAAGTATTGGGTGCTAAAGGGCTGATGCCTAACCCTAAATTTGGTACTGTGACTTCTAACATTGCAGAAGCTATTAAAACCATTAAGTCTGGTCAGATAAAATTTAGAACAGATAAAAATGGGGTTATTCATGGTAAATTAGGAAATATTAAATTTGATATTGATGACTTGCTAGAAAATTTAAAAGCCTTTCTTAAAGTAATTAAAGATAATAAACCTATTTCTGCGAAAGGAATTTACTTTAAGGGTGTTTTTTTAAATTCAACTATGGGTGAAGCTTATAAGATAAGCAAAGTGGAAGATATAATTTAAGGGAGTGATACCGTGAAGCGTAAAAATAAGGATGAATTTATACAGAGCACAATAAACGTATTTGTAAATAATGATTTCTTGATATTAGTAAATTTTAAATCTATAAATGCTAATGATTCATTAACTCTGAGGAATAGCCTGAAGTCTATAGCAGGTGGGGTATTAGTAGTTAAAAACACTCTAGCGCGCTTGGCTTTGGAAAGGACTGGTAAATTTTCTTATTTATCAGGCAAATTTTCTGGTTCTGTTGCTATTATATACTCTAGTGGCATAGTAGAAGCTGCAAAGTTAATAGTTGATTTTATTAATGCTAACAAAGAAAAAATGTCTGTGATTTGCGCGGCTCATATAAATGAATTGTTAACAGTGGAAGATGTTAATAAACTGGCTAAGTTGCCTTCTCTGGATGAATTGCGTGTTAAAATTATGCGTTTAATATCTTATGATATTCCTGCTCGATTGGCGTTGTCTATTAATTCATCTTCTATGAGGCTTATAAGAGTTTTGGATTATTATAGTTCTAAAAAATAAATTTGTTGTTAAGTAAGGTGGTAATTATGAGTAATGTAACAAGTGATTTGGTTGATAAAATATTGTCTTTAAACCTATTAGAGGCTTCTGAACTTGTAAAAGTTCTAGAAGAGAAAATAGGGTTGCCTGCTGGTTCTTTTCTTGGTGGGGCTGTTGGTGCTGGGGCGCCTATTAGTGATAATGCTGCTGCTCCTGCTGCTCAAGAAAAAGCTGAGTATAAAGTTGTGATTAAAGAAATTGATGCGAGTAAAAAAATAGGAGTTATTAAAGCTGTGAGAGAAGTTAATTCTACATTGGGTTTAAAAGAAGCAAAAGAGTTGGTTGAATCTTTACCTAAAGATTTAACTGCTAATGTTCCTAAAGACGAAGCAGAAAAAATCAAGCAAAAACTTATTGAAGCAGGAGTAACTAAAGTGGAGCTTGAATAATATTTAATGTATTAATTTTATATTGATATAGCTCTTTTAATTAGTTTGGGGTATTTTAATGGTTGATTCTTCTTATATGTACGCTTCTGGTGCTTTTGTTCCTAGAGTTTCTTATTCTAGGTCGATTGATTTAAAAGATTCTTTATTGGATTTGGTTAAGGTTCAAAAAGAATCGTATGATTCATTTGCTCCTAAGAATAAGGGTAATGAAAGACTTGAAGTTATCTTTCATACAATCTTTCCAATAAATGATCCTTTGCGTAGGGCTACTATTGAGTTTATAAGTTGTAGGGTAGATGATCCTAAGTATGATGAATCTGAGTGTATAAAGCGTGGTGTAACTTTTTCTGCTCAGGTTATTGCTTCTATACGTCTTGTTGTTATGCAGGATGGTATTTCTCTTGATGAATATAAATCGATTAAAGAGAGTGGAGATCATTCTAAACTTGCAACCATTGTAAAATCTATAGAAGAGCAGGAAGTCCACTTTTGTGGGTTGCCTATGATGACTGATAAGGGCACTTTCATCATTAATGGTGTAGAAAAAGTTAT